ATGATCAGGATACGGCTGATTCTCCTCCACATTCTTCACCTCTCTGTTCTCCTCAGACAGAATGAGTTGAGTGTGTGCTGTGTTTGGATCCAGAGTGAGGAAACAGACATCTGAACACAAGAACACACACATTTATAACCACAGCTGTGTGGGTGTGTGTGTGTGTGTGTGTGTGTGTGTGTGTGTGTGTGTGTGTGTTTGAGAGAGGGGGGGGGTTGTGTGTTTGTTTGTGTGTGCATGTGTTCACTGCTGTGTGAGTGTGTGTGTGTGTGTGTGTGTGTGTGTGTGTGTGTGTTTGTTTGAGAGGGGGGGGGGGTTGTGTGTACATGTGTTCACTGCTGTGTGTGTGTGTGTTTGAGAGAGAGAGAGAGAGGGAGGGAGTGTGTGTGTGTATATATATGAGTGTGTAAGAGAGAGGGAGTGTGTGTGTGTGTGCATGTGTTCACTGCTATGTGTGTGTGCCTGATTGTGTATGAGTGTGTGTGTGTGTGTGTGTTCACTGCTGTGTGTGTGTGTGTGTGTGTAAGAGAGAGAGAGGGAGTGAGTGTGTGTGTGTGTGAGTGTGTATGTCTGATTGTGTGTGAGCGTGTGCGTGTGAGAGAGAGACAGAAGGGAGTGTGTGTGTGTGTCTGATTGTGTGAGTGTGTGCATGCGTGCGTGTGTGTGTGTGTGTAGTCCTACATTTGTGCAGTCCTGCTGTAATCCTCTTCTCTCCTCCATGATCCAGACTGTAAACACACACAGATTCACATTCAGTCAGTACACAAACATCAGCCTAAAACACACACACACACACACACACACACACTCAGGTTGTCCTTTAGTCAGTACACAAACATCAGCTTATAATACACACACACACACACGCACGCACACACGCACACACACACACACACAGGTTGTCCTTCAGTCAGTACACAAACATCAGCTTATAACACAAACACACACACACACATCGACAGACACACACACACTCAGGTTGTCCTTCAGTCAGTATACAAACATCAGCTTATAATACACACACACACACACACACACACACACACGCACGCACACACGCACACACACAATAGGACATGTGGAGTGTGTGCTGAATGCTGGATTGTGATTGGCTGATCTCAGTGCATTAATAACTGCAGTAAAACAACATGAGTGTGTGTGGAGCTGTCAAATCAGCTTCTGAATGACACACAGAGCTTTTAGATCAGATGTGGAAACAGAAAACAGAATGGAAACACAGAAACAGACAGATATAAAGACTGAAGGATTCATTCAATGATCAATTGACAAAAGCGCAGCACAATAATAAAGCAGAATTCAGTGTTAAATGACTTGAAATATGATGGAGATCTTCCTCTTCTGTCAAATGCCTCTTCATCATCTTCAAACAGACTCAGAACTCAATCATTCTGAGCTGAGAGTGTGTGATTAGTGATATGAGACTTGCTGGAATCACTCATTTACACATTTACACATTCACAACTGTGATGACAAATCTGATTCACTGTGGAGCTCAAAGACAAACACTAGTGCTGTGTGTGTGTGTGTGCGTATGTGTGTGTGTGTGTGTGTGTGTGTGTGCTAGATACTATACATCTTGTTCCTGCAGTTAAGTGTGTATAAAACACAAACAGATGATTGAGAAAATAGATTAAACCTGTTTGTTGTCTGAAAGCAGGGTGATTCTTTAATTTAATATATAATATGGTCAGATATTCTTGGCTAAAGATTATTCAGAGGGCTGTCACATTTAAGTAATAATCACAAAAAACAAATAAATGAAAATGTCTGTCAGGAAAGAGTTAAGAGCATTCAGCGCTACGACATCAGTGCTGCTTCACATACTTGAGTTTGTCCAGTGTGTAGTTTGGATCCTCCAGTTGTTCAGAGAGCAGCTCGACTCCTAAATCTCCTGGATGATTATAGCTCAGATCCAGCTCTCTCAGGTGTGAGGGGTTTGAAGTCAGAGCTGAAGACAGAAAACCACAGCCTTCCTCTGTCACCATACAGCCAGACAATCTACAAACACAGAAATAGTCCACATCACACAGTTGGACAATCACACATCTCTTTGTGTTGTGAAGATGCTGACTGCAGTTTCTGCTCATGTCAACAGCAGTGATGAACACACACATCCTGATCAGCTCTCCTTATTGATCGAGCCCTCGCATCAGCAAAAACACACACTCACACACTCAACAAGGACTCGACATCATCTGTAGAAGTTTATATCAATATAAACAAAATATTACCCCAGCACATTTGGGCTCCGCATCTGGTAGGACTTAAGGGCTGTTCACACAGAAAGTGATGTTGAATGTTGACACCCACAGACAGACACAACCTGGTAAAGTTTTCAAACAGTGAACTGAGACTGCAACTATTAGTGAAATCTATCCATTTCTCAGTCAATATAGGCAGTGTATTCTGCTGCATTTAAACAGAACACATTTATTAAACAGATTTATTTATGAACATAATATTTTAGTCACCAAACATATTCAGAAATTGAAAGATAATACAATTAAAGTCAGGCTAAATATTGAGAGAAAAAAATACAAAAATACAAACAAAAAAATCCCTTGTTTTGCTTTCCTTGATTTTTCCTCTTTTTTTAATTTTGTATTTAATATTTTTCTATAAACATAAATTTAAGTGTGCTAGTTTTTGGACGTTATCATGAGTTATTTGGTTAGATGAGCTCCAGATTTGGCTAATCTATTGTATATGCACAAATATAATACTGTAGAGCTTCCTATTAAAATATGAATGTAAAAGAGAGATTAGTGAGGGCTGTACTTATATATGCTGAGCACTGTATATTGTTCACCCAGAGTGTTTACATGGTCACACAGCAGTAACACAACAAGCATTGAGTTTGGGCTAGCTTCTGCAGATGGACATTGCTGTACACTGCCCTTGATGGGTGAGTGGGGGAGTGTCTGTTGTCTCTCAGGTGTGAATTATTCATGAGCATTGTCACTCACACATACAGCTGAGATCACCCAAAACAAACTTAACAAAATGTAGATCATTGTAATGTTTTCTCTGAATGAGAGAACAGAATAATTTCCACATAATTGTGCAGTAAATATTCTAGTCTACAAGACTGCTTACTCTAAACTCTTGTTCAGGCACATTCAGTCTGGTTTTGGACCTTGTTTCAGCATTTTTTTTCTCCTAAACATAGAAACCTACTAACCACACATAATATTTATTTCTATAACACAAGCATGTACATCAATATTTCTCACATATTATTGTAGCTCAGTTTGCGCTGAACACAAATGAAACACATGTTGGCCAGTTCTGTGTAATAAGTAGCTGAAATAAGCACAGATGTCAGGGCATGTCAAAACATCTCAGGGGCCAAAATCACCTCAGACCCCTGAGGGTTAACTACAGGTATAGTATGAGCAGTGTGAAACACAATTACTGATAAACCATAATTCCTGTTATCTGGGGTTTAGTATCACCCAGGGTTAACATGTTCAAGCATAAAGAGCTCTAATATGAAACTGTCTGACTGTAGCTATTGTAGAGTGGAGAATCATTTACCTCAGTGTGTCCAGTTTACAGTGTTGACTCTTCAGTCCATCAGAGAGCTTCTTCACTCCTGAATCCTGCAGGTCATTGTTACTCAGGTCCAGCTCTCTCAGCACACAGTTTGAGGATTGTAGAGCTGAAGACAAACTCTCACAGCACTGAACAGTGAGATTATACATGACCAATCTGAGAAAGAAGAACACAGATTACATTAACAGTGTGATTTCAGTCATTCATCTGATGTAAAATCAAACTACGAGTTTAATAATATGAAAAAACTATTGTTATTTGTGTCAGTTAGAATTATTGACTATTGTTATTTAATAAAACTGAATATTAAATGTCATCTAATATATTCTTGAATACTTTGAAATGTAAGAAAACTGCTAAATTTGAGTTCAGATAAGAGGACCACGAGACTTTATATATTTATGAACCTGCAAAATGCAAATGATCAGAGCCTGTCAAACCTGCTCCAATAAACCAATTCACAGATAAACTATAAATATAATCATTAAAAATATAAATAAAGATTTAGAGGTAATTAAATAAAATAATCATTAAAATACACTGATTTCCTGAACTGTTTAAGAAAAAGAGCAACTTTCATTTCTCCACTAATGCTCTTAAATATATCTGGACATTTCCATCTCAATCAAAACACTTTTAATGTTGTAGAGTGGAGAATCATTTACCTCAGTGTCTCCAGTTTACAGTGTTGACTCTTCAGTCCATCAGAGAGCTTCTTCACTCCTGAATCCTGCAGGTCATTGATACTCAGGTCCAGCTCTCTCAGCACACAGTTTGAGGATTGTAGAGCTGAAGACAAACTCTCACAGCACTCAACAGTGAGATTACAGCTCTGAAGGCTGTGAGGGGAAAACAGAAATAATGATTTTGCATTTATCTATTATTCCAGAGCAGAGACAAAACATTTAAATTTTGTGTTTTAGTTTGAGCAAAGGTAAAATCACTATATGGACTTTGTAAATACTGAATTTAAGGGAGAATACAAGGCTGTAAAATAAACATCAAATTATTATTTAGCTAACAATTGACAGTTTTGTTTGATAATTAACTATTAGTTATCCTTATTAAAAACTTTCTCCGTTTTCCAAACTCATGTTAACAGATTAGAGCTATCAGTTTTGAAATGCACACCATCTATCTATCTATCTATCTATCTATCTATCTATCTATCTATCTATCTCTCTCTCTCTCTCTCTCTCTCTCTATATATATATATATATATATGTGACGAGGGTATCGAGTAGGGTTTAAATCTCTGTAAATAAAAATAACCGACTACGCCAGAATGTGACGAGGGTATCGAGTAGGGTTTAAATCTCTGTAAATAAAAATAACCGACTACGCCACCCCAGGAGTTACCCAGGGAAACAACTATTAGAAAAGGACACAGGTTCGTTTCTCCCAGAAAGGCACAGAGACGTGAGTTAATGAAAAAGTACAAAAATATTTATTTGGAATAAAACTACCAAATGGTACGGTTCTTAAAAATACATCAAAAACTCCCACTTCATTATTAAACACAAGAAACAATAAATAAACAAAACCAAACCAGGATTGGAGGTTCCCACTGACTGGGTACGAGTGGACAGACTTTACCCCAGCACACGCACACACCACAGTGCACTCAAAAATCACGCTATCACGCACTCAGTGTCCACAGCACACGATAGAGAAACACCACCACCAGTGGAAAGTGACCCGTCATCCACCGGGGGAAACCTCAGTTCCTGAAATAAATAAAAATAAAAATCAATAACCAACAAAACACAAATAAGTGGGTCAATCAGGTTAACACCTACTTTACATGATCTAATTGAAAGATAGCTACAGCTGTATTTACACCATCTGACCTACACTAGACCCAACATTAACTGTTACTAGAAAGACTAAACTCACAAAAGAATACTCTTAATAACGAAAAACAAAATCAATACTTTGCATAAATAGACACAACAAAAAAACAGAAGAATGCTTATGTTGACAAATCAATTATCCAACACAAATAAACAAATGAAAGAATGAAGGGGAGCACATAGCAGCACGCTAAGAGTTATTGCAGGCAGTCCCCGCTAGCAGCTGCATTGGTGGCGTCCAAGCGGCAGCCAATACGCCGCCGTTAGCATTAGCAGCAGTTGCAGACGGTCTCCGGTAACCACGGCAATAGCGATGAACACGGGAGCTAGTAAGCAAATGATACCAGAGGAAGATCCGACGTAAGAGAGAAAGGGGAAAAGGGAGGATCCTAAGGAGGAAAAGCGCAAACAAGCCCATTAACATGGTCCTTTAAATGATCACACCACATCATACGTGCTTCACTTACCAATGGGCGCACACTCAGACACGTTCTAAATCACTCGTTGGTCGATACAATACAGCGAGGTGCCGGAATTAATAGCTGTACAGCATGAAACACGCAGGTTAAAATGCGACTAAACCCCATTACTCAGCCAGTTCAAAGCCATCACATACCTGCAACTGAACAGTCATCCAGCCACCACAGCCAAGGGAAAAGCCACCGCCACACGATGCACTAGAACAATGCCAAAAGAGAGCTTAACGTGGGTCGATTCAAACAACTTACAAAATTCAGAACGAGCGCAGAGCCTCTACCTGTAGCCGCGGCTACAGACACCCAAACCAGTGCGTCGGAGTCGGACGTGACGTATCCCAAGCACCGACCAATCAGGTTTAAAAAGGCGGTGCTACGTGCCGATTGGCCGATGTCAATGCCAATCAGCTGCACTACACCATCACATTCCACCCCCAATTTCTGCAACGTCGCCCCGACGGTGAACTAAACATATCATTAATCGAAGAGCCTAATTCCAAGGGCGAAAGAATGTACCAAAAGGGTTAGTCGCTATACTGGACACTGTCCCTGTACCTACAGCTCGTGGGAGGTGGTGCAGGTTAGAATGCTGACCCGCCGTACTTCTCACAGTTCTCCTTACCACAACTTCTGCTGCTCTTACAGGGTTAGAGGGCACCACTTCAGGCTGCACCGTCTCCCCAGTTGCTCGACCCTCCAGTTCCTCGTCTACCACCCGAGGAACAGGGGGGACAGCACCCTGTGACCTTGACCTTCCTCTAAGCTCTGGTGTCTCAGGAACTAGAACCAGCAAGTCTCCATCACACTCCTCATCTGAAGGCTGCATGCCATCACCCATTGCAGGTTCAGGTGGACTAGGAAGCAGATTCGGACCAAGCTGGGCTTTCAACAAGGATCTGTGTACATGTTTGGTTTTACTGAGGTCTGCAACAGGAGCAATAGTATAGACTACTCCACTTTCAGTAGGTGCTTTTAGGACTTGGTAGACCACTGAGCTCCACAGGTCTTGGATTTTACATCTACCTCGCACACTATGATCGCGAAGGTAAACTAGTTGACCCTCCTTCAGTGGTGCTTCCCTTACCTGAAGATCATGCCGGGCCTTCCGCCGGTCGGCTGCGGCACCCAATCGCTCACGAGCACCTTCAAAAGCGACTTGTAACCGATCTTGCTGTTCCACAATCCACCCATGAACACTGCCGGCTGACGGCTCTTTAACTCTACCCAAGAGGAAATCAATGGGAAGTTTAGGTTCCTGTCCAAACATCAAATAATACGGGGATTCTCCAGTTGACTGGTGAGGAGTAGTGTTGTACGCAAAGAGAACCTGAGGGAGACAAAGTGGCCAATCACTCTTTTTAGAAGGTGGAAGAGAACGCAGCAGATCATGCAACGTTCTATTGAAACGCTCACATTGACCATTTCCAGCAGGGTGGTATGGACTAGTACGTGACTTTACAACTCCATACAACCCACACAGCTGCTGAATCAAAGTGGACTCAAAATTACGACCTTGGTCGGAGTGGATGCGACCTGGCACCCCAAATTTACAAAACCATTCGGCCACAAGGACCTGTGCTACAGTCTCGGCCCGTTGGTCTCTAGTGGGTATAGCTAAGGTGTACTTTGTAAATATGTCAGTCATGACCAACACATTTTCTAGGCCAGATCTTGAAGGATCCATCAAAGTGAAATCGAGAGCTAAAATCTCATTAGGCCGAGAAGCCAGAAGATGTCCCATATAACTACTGGGAGCAGAGGGGGTGCCTTTAGCACACTGGCAGCGCTCACACTCCTGGCACCAGCGTGCAATGTCAGCAAACATACCCGGCCAGTAACATCTCTGACGAACCAGCTGGGAAGTACGCTCAACCCCCTGATGTCCATGCTGCTGATGCAGCTGGGTCAAGACCTCAGTCTTCATGACGGCTGGTAGTAACACCTGGAGAACTTCCTCTCCGCCATCCGGCCGTGACACACGCCGATAGAGCACCCCTTCAATTTCCACAAGGCGGCCCCATTGGCGAAGCAAGATGACTGCCAAGCGAGAGAGCTGCTTACGCTCCTCCGAGGTAGGGAGCAACTTACGCCTCCAAAACACCAACACCTCACCAATGACTGTGTCTGCATCCTGCAGAGCACCCATGTCACTGCCAGAGGGGCAGGGAAAGGCGGTAACTTGATTGACCTGGGTCACCAATCCATCTGGGGCCACTTGCTGCAACACAGCTGGAACAGCCACCCCTGGACACAGGCCTTGAACTTCTCCTGTACTGGAAAAGTTCTGCCGGGACAAAGCGTCTGCGTTACGATTGCTCCTACCCGATCTATACTTTATTTCAAAGTCAAATGCGGACAATTGAGCAGCCCAACGATGCTCCATTGCACCTAACTTGGCAGAATTCAGGTAGCTAAGGGGGTTGTTATCAGTAAAGACAATACATTTTTGGCCTAACAAATACTCCCTGAACTTTTCAGTCATGGACCACTTGAGTGCCAAAAACTCCAATTTCATTGAACTATAATTAGATGGATTACGCTCGGTGGGCCTAAGACTGCGGCTGCCATATGCTATTGGTCGCACCTTGCCTTGTTGTTCCTGTGAGAGGACTGCCCCCAAGCCTCCCTGACTGGCATCGATCTCTAAAATAAAAGGCAGAGAAAAATCAGCATAGGCCAACACTGGAGCACTAGTTAGCTTAATTTTCAACCCCTCAAAGCTACTTTGACATTCCGTGGACCAAGAAGCCGCAAAGTCATGGGCATTGCCCTTTCGCTGTTTTGGGTTTGCAAGCTGAGCCACCAGCCTATGGAGAGGGGCAGCCAATTTGGAAAACCCCTCCACAAAACGACGGTAGTAGCTAGCAAACCCCAAAAATGAGCGCAACTCGGTAACGCTGGTCGGGCAAGGCCAGTTGGCCACTGCCTCCACTTTACCTGGATCGGTAGAGACCCCCTCTGACGAAATGACGTGACCCAAATAACGCACTTCCCTTTGAAAGAAAGCACACTTGGATAACTTGGCCTTCAACCCTTCCCTCTGCAGACGGCTCAGGACAACCTCCATCCGTGCCAGATGTTCATCTATAGAGGAGGAAAAGACAATAATATCATCCAAATACAGGAGGAGGGATTGGCACTGTTGATCCCCAAACAACCGTTCCATCAATCGTTGGAAGGTGCTTGGGGCATTACACAGTCCAAACGCCATCCTATTCCACTCAAAAAGGCCAAAAGGGGTACAGAAGGCAGTCTTAGGCTTGTCCTTCTCAGTTACAGGCACCTGGTTATACCCACTGGCTAGGTCCATGGTGGAAAACCAACAGGCCCCAGCCAGCGAGTCCAAAGTTTCCTCAATACGTGGTAGAGGGAATGCATCCTTTCTGGTTTTCGCATTCAAACGACGGTAGTCTACGCACATGCGCAGACCACCGTCTTTTTTCTTAACCAGGACAATGGGCGAAGCATAAGGACTGGAACTTTCTCTAATCACCTGGGTCTCTAGCAGTTGGTTGATATGTGCCTTTACCACCTCATACTCAGACGGAGGGATGCGCCTGAACCGCTGCCTGACAGGGATCTCATCTAACAATGGTATATCGTGAGATATCAGGTTTGTACAACCCAAATCACCATCGTAACTGGAAAACACAGGCAAATACTTCAACAGCAATGCCCTAACTTTACCCTGCTCTACCTCAGGCAGTTTTGACAGGTCTAAAGTGGCTATTTGCTCCTGCACAGAAGGAGAAGACTGTGCACTTACCCTAGCGGCCACCATGTTTACCTCTGCGACCTCTGGGGGTAACGTAACTACATCAACCTTACTCACAACGCCCACAATAGTTCTGGCGTACAATACCACATCTATAGTGCCCACGTTGACTATGGGCACATAGACCGTACCACCATCCACCTTTAGGAGCGCAGGAGAGGCCAGCAAACCTGCAGGGAGACCAGAAATTGGAGGTTCAAACAGTACAGCATTATCAGAATACTGCACCGAACAAGTTGTAGCAACAAATTTTACAGTGCCACCTGGGATGCGACACGCCCGACGTCCACGCACTCTGACTTGTCCTTCTGCATCTTTAACTGGCTGAACTCCAGCTTGATGACAATTTTGTAAGGCCTGAAAGATAAAACTAGGGGCCTGTGATACTGCCGGTAAATCAAAAAGGCCTGTACCATGCTGGCCGAATAGCTCCTGGTAGCAGCGGCTCAACACATTCATACCCAATACACCAGGTGTTTGTGCACACATGCCCCCAGGAGGATCCTTAACAACCAGCACGCCACAGCCTGAAACTACTCGCCCACAAAGCTCTATATCTAATTCCAAATAACCAATATAAGGAATTGAAAGACCATTTGCAGCTCTAAGCTGTAACCAATGACATGATCTAAGCTGTTCTTGACCCCACAGCCCAAAATTAGTCATGAAACAACTCTCAGTAATGGTGGACACCATGGAGCCGGTGTCAACCAAACAAGGGACCTGAACCCCACCTATAGTTACAACGAGCTTCGGACATGTAGACATTAAACACGGCATATGATCATTAGAGCCTACCCTTTTCCCAACCAAGTTATGGCCCTGTAACTTGGTGGGAACTAGTTTTCCGACGGCTGGCTGGAGGATGACTGTTCGCGTCTTGTTAAAGCAGAAGTTATTTGGGCTGATGGTGCACGGACCGACATCCGCCCACCATCGCAATTTCTCGCAAAATGGCCTGGCTGACGACATCTTCTGCAAATAACCGGGTTAACTTTAGGTGGCGGCAAACTGGGTGAACAACTCTGAAGCAGAGACATACTTTGAACTAGTTGATTTAATTGTTGCTGCTGCTTCAGCAACATGTCCCGCAATTCAGTCATTTCAGACTTTGCCCCACTACTAACACTTCGATTCCCCTGCACCCCATACTGAATACCATAAACTGATGGAACAGACTGACTTCGGCCCCGCGCTCCCCCAGGCATGCCCTCTCTTTCCCACCGAAGTGCTTCACCACGTACGTCAACCAATGTGGCAGTAGGTTGACGCCGAACAAACTGCTTAAGTTCACGACGAAGGGTGCAATCATTAACATTTTCCACAAACTGATCTCGCAGTAAAATTTCTGCATTAGGCATGCCATGAGGTGACTGACCTTTAACCTTTTCCAGAAGGCTCATCAGGGCTAAGGAAAACTCCACCAAAGTCTCCCCTTCCTGCTGTCTTCTGGAAAAGAATGACTCCTGAAGAGCTACATAAGACTTAGTACAGCCATATAGATCGCGCAATACCTGAATCACCCGCTTTGGATCCTCCCTTTCACTCTGTGGCCTATAACGAATTTCCTCTCTTGCCTCTCCCTCCAGGTGATCAAACAAGAAAAATGCCCGATCAGCTGAAGACAAATGGCGAAGACGCATACAAGCCTCTGCTTCTTCCACCCACTCATTGATGTCAATTCCGGACCGGCCACTGAATTTTGGACATTTACGGTCTCGAGGAACGAAAACAAATCGTTCGGTTGACGAGGGACCAGCATCAATGAGGGGAGGATCTGAAACAACAGGAATAGAAATATTAGATGGACCCGGCAGTGCAGCTGGCACCTGCTCTTGCCGTAGTCGCTCATTATCAGCTTTTAATTGAGTTACCAACTCCCTCAACTCACGCAATT